ATCTCGGACTAGATCTATCTGCTGACCTTAAATTTAATACACATATATCTCGAATAACTTCCAATGCAAACAGATCCTTGCTTTATTAAAAGAAATGTCATCACTAAAAATGAGAAAGTAAAAGAACTAGCATACAAGTCCCTGGTCCCGCCCACAGGTTGAATATGCACCTCATCTATTTGGTCTCCTTATACTAAAACCAATATTGAACAAAGTTGAGATGATCCAGAGACGTGCAATAAGATGGGTTAAAAGGGATTACTCCCCTGCACTCTAGTGTCACAGCCATGCAGGAAGAACTGGGCTGGCGATCCCCTTGAACATCGCAGACTGGACTGTAGACTGATAATGTTTTATAAGATATACCATAACCTAGTTGCAATTAATCTCCCAACTTATGTTCAAACCCCACATAGATTAACCAGACATATGCATCCCTTATCCCTACGTCAAATACAGGTATCCTCCGACTACCATAAGTACTCTTTCTTCCCTCAGCATTATGCTATGGAATAAACTTACTAGTAACATTGCCACCCTGCCCAACCTGAGTCAGTTCAAAACAGGCAGTGGTGGGTTTGCAGTACTAGTTTACTCCCAGTGTTTTTTAAACTATTTTATCTCTTATTCATCTTGTTTCACTATTAACATTTTAACCATGACTAGAATACATTTTCAGTCTCACCTTCCAAGCATGTCAATGTTTGGACTTTTCTTTTTAGCTTTTCTCTTCACCTTTTACTAACAATCCGACGTGCACTAAATTCCTGCCTTTAACACTCGTAAGAGGGGTTGGCAGTATCCAGAGATAGATAGATAGGAAAAATGGTGGTGGGAACACTGGATATCACCGTTAAACTTTTGTTGTTGTTTTTGTTGTTATTTTTCATTTATTTCTTGATAAGTGTTTATATTTTAAAGCAAAAAAATAATTTTAAAAAAATGGGGCCGGGCTGACCAGAAATAACATTGCTTTGGGGCCGGGTTGACCAATTTGGGGCCGGGTTGACTTGAGGCTGGGTTGACTTGGGGCCGGGTTGACTTGTACCGGGGGAAAAGTAATCAATACAAACAGAACAGAACATAAACTTTATTTGAAATAAATATAATACACAAACAAACAATTATTTACAACATATAAATAGATAATGTTTTATTAATGCAAACAGAACAGAACATGAACTTTATTTGAAAAAATATAATACACAAACAAACAGACACTTTTTATAAATAACATTTTTACAATTTTACAATTAAACAACTTTACTTGAAAACTTGTGTGAAGAGACATTTTTATAAATAACATTGTTACAAATAAAAATGAAAAAAACAACAACACAGGACGGTTAAAATATTGTTTTATAAATTAAGTAACCTGCCCTTTATTGTTTGTTACACCTTTAAAACATTAACGTATATCTAAATGATTCAAAAGATAATAAATAATTATTATACCCCCAAAAACGAAGTTTGGGGGGGTATATAGGAGTCACTCGGTGGTCGGTCGGTCGGTCGGTCGGTTGGTCGGTCGGGTGGTCGGTCGGTCGGTCCAGACGTCCGTTGCATTTTCCTTGTCCGGAGCATAACTTGAAAACTAATAGTTGGAATTCAATATAACTACATGCAATGGTCAAGCACATTGAGAGGAAGTGCAGTGCACAAGAACCATAACTCTATCTTGACTAATTACAGAGTTATTGCCCTTTTTTACTTTTCCTTGTCCGGGGCATAACTTGAAAACTACTGGTTGGAATTCAAAACAACTTCATACAATTGTCAAACACAATAAGGGGAAGTGCAGTGCACAAGAACCATAACTCTATCTAAAGTAATTACAGAGTTATTGCCCTTTGTTGCTTTTCCATTGCTTTTTTTTATTGTCTGTTGCATTTTCCTTGTCCGGAGCATAACTTGAAGACTAATTGTTGGAATTGAATATAACTACATACAATGGTCAAGCACATTGAGAGGAAGTGCAGTGCGTAAGAAACATAACTCTATCTTGACTAATTATAGAGTTATTGCCCTTTGTTACTTTTCCTTGTCCGTGGCATAACTTGAAAACTACTGGTTGGAATTCAAAACAACTTCATACAATTGTCAAACACAATAAGGGGAAGTGCAGTGCACAAGAACCATAACTCTATCCAAAAGTAATTACAGAGTTATTGCCCTTTGTTGCTTTTCCATTGCCTTCTTTTTTTGTCCGGACCATAACTTGAAGACTAATGGTTGGAATTCAATATAACTACATACAATGGTCAAGCACATTGAGAGGAAGTGCAGTGCATAAGAACCATAACTCTATCTAAAGTAATTACAGAGTTATTGCCCTTTATTACTTTTCCATTGCTTTCTTTTGTCCGGACCATAACTTCAAGACTAATTGTTGGAATTCATTATAACTTCATACAATGGTCCAGCACATTGAGAGGAAGTGCAGTGCACAAGAACCATAACTTCATCTTGATTTATTACAGAGTTACTGCCCTTTGTTTCTTTTTCTTGTCCAGAGCATAACTTTAAAACTACTGGTTGGAATTCAAAAACAACTTCATACAATGGTCAAGCACAATAAGGGGAAGTGCAGTGCACAAGAACCATAACTCCATCTTGACCAATTACAGAGTTATTGCCCTTTGTTTCTTTTCCATTGCTTTCTTTTGTCCGGACCATAACTTGAAGACTTATTGTTGGAATTCATTATAACTTCATACAATGGTCAAGCACATTGAGAGGAAGTGCTGTGCATATGAACCATAACTCCATCTTGACTTATAACAGAGTTACTGCCCTTTGTTACTTTTCCTTGTCCACAGCATGACTTGAAAACTACTGGTTGGAATTCAAAACAACTTCATACAATGGTCAAGCACAATAAGGGGAAGTGCAGTGCACAAGAACCATAACTCCATCTTGACTAATTACAGAGTTATTGCCCTTTGTTACTTTTCCTTGTCCAGAGCATAACTTGAAAACTACTGTTTGGAATTCAGTACCACTTCATACAGTTGTCAAGGACATTAAAAGGAAGTGCAGTGCACAAGAGCCATAACTCCATTTTGACAAAATACAGAGTTACTGCCCTTTGATACTTTTCCTTGTCCGGAGCATAACTTAAAACGTACTGGTTGGAATTCAAAACAACTTCATACAATGGTCAAGCACAATAAGAGGAAGTGCAGTGCACAAGAACTATAACTCTATCTTCAGTATTTATAGAGTTATTGCCCTTTGTTCTTTTTCTTTGTCTTTCTGGACTTATTACAGAGTAATTCAATTAAACTTCATCAATGGCCAACCACATTCAAAGGAAATGCAACATATATGAACAACAATTATCTTTAATTGCCCACAACCATAACTCTATGTTTCAATTCTTTTACAAGGTATTCTGTTACTAGTAACATCCTCATTTCCGAAGCAGACTTGTGGGGGTATTAATCACATTTAGTGATAGTTCTAGTTTAAAGAATTAAAGTGTCATAATTGTTTAATCGTAATTAAATTAATTGTTGTTAATCAATCAAGCAATATACTAAAGTGGGGCCGAAACGTCTCGCGGAAATGGGCCGAAACGTCTAGGGGCCGATTTTTCGATTGGGGCCGATTTGGTTTGGGGCCGAAACGTCCTGTTTGCGATTTTGATATCATTGAAAATGAATTCTTTATCTTGGCAGTAAACTCGTAAATTTGTAAATCAATAGGTGATATAATATGAAAAAGGCAAAGCCTCAAAGCGAGCTCGATTTTATTTTACCTTAGGATAGTTTAAAACAATCGTTCATTTTTATTTTACATTTTCCGTTTTTAAATTGTCATTCGGTATTTTATATACTACTTCCGTTTATTCTGGTTCCTCCTATCTATTATGGTTTCTATATAAGTGCGCAGGACACCAGTCTACACTTCCGTTTTCAATCAGAGTACATCGGCTTTTATTGTTATCATGTAATTCGAAAAGTTGCGATGTGTCCAATTCGGTACTTCGGACGGAAGTTTTCAAAACCATCACTTAGCAGGTACTCGCGTTACCGTAAAGCTCGCTAAAATCAGTATATAACACTTCACCCCTTAAAATTTGAAAGTCTAAGTATTTCAACATCAAATAAACCTCAAGATTCTTAATTTTCATAAATAATTAATCCCTAGTAACTATTGATAAATAACTATTTTATTTTAACTCTATTCTTTTTTTAACAGAACATTTATCTTTACCCATATCCCTGTAAAAACAATTACTTACCACAACATTGGATAATATAAGTTATAAGAGGAGTTGCATATCAATAAAAAATTTAAATATACTGCTCAAGATCAATTTTGATTCCAGTATCATGTATATGTGAAGGTACTGTCAAACTGGAGTGCCTACAGTATAATTGTCCAGAAGGCATATGTCATTGGATTCTCAAGTGTGGCCTGTGAACAGAAACAAAAGTGATTTCCTGTTCCAATTTTTGGTTTGATGATTGATCCAGTCAAGCAAGAGTCTGCTTGATACAGTTACTTTTTCAACCCATTACTACATGTACGGTGATTGGTTAAAATGCCCTTTCCTGTCAACGTAGAAACACTCACATGTACATTCATACACGCAGATAAACACTTTACACAATCTCTCTTTTTTAAATGCCATTTAATGACATCAACTTAAAACACTAATTTTCATTTCATTATTCATATAAAAATAAGGCCTCATTACAATTGGGGAACTTATTATCAAACAGGCCATTGATATTTTTATCTTCTTGAAATTTTATTCGGACACGAGGACTGATGGAACATCTGCATGATTTTTATTCAGCCAGGACCAAGGACCGACCGACTTTCACACGGACTGTAAGTGTCGTAACTACCTTTCAGCCAAGCTCATCTGAAAGATATGACCATTAAGCATTTATTTTTCTCCATGTTGCAAGAAAAACTGCTGTTTTTATTAAAAGCTCTGTAATGTATGCAATTTAACTTGATCAAATTTGTTTAAATTTTCATTTCAGATGTGTCTAAGAATCGGTTATCAGAGGTACCAAAAGAAGTGTGTACTTACATATCTATGGAGAAATTAGACTGCTACCACAATGTGATTAAATCTATACCAGAAGCTATTGTTCAACTCCAAGCTTTAACTTATCTCAATCTTAGGTAAGTCATACTGTATTTCTGTCAGGGATCATACCTGTAGTAATATTTTCCAGTTTGTAGCTGAAATTCAGCAACTCGACATTAGTGTTGTGCAGTTGAATGATATATCATTATATGAAAATAAAAAATTATAAAATAAATGCCCCATCTCTAAAAAAAACAAAACATCTTTTAAAAAAAAAGAGTAAATTCTCCCAGCTGCCATTTCTTTACTTTTATTAAGAGCTCTTGCCTGATTTTCACCAGGCATGTAGGGACGGTGAGCTGAAGCTTTGTCAAAAACATCATGAAGTATTTTAGCTGGTTTTCAGACATCTCATTGAGTAGGAAATAATATCTTTTTCTAAATGGTGTCATTGTAGCTTTTGTCTATTTAATTAGTTGAATGGTCTTACTAGTGTAATTAAAAATTATGGAGTAACTGTGACGTAGTTTGCATGACTTTAAAAATGTGCTTAGTGAACTTAAGAGTATAAAAATTATTAAAGTATTAAGTTCTTACCTACTAAAATGGCAGATAATTATTGTTGAATTTTGGAATTGTGTCCATATATAAATTGAATGCAATTAGAATGATGCTAAATTTAATGATTAAAGGAATTAAAATAATTATTGTAATGCTCCTTATTTGTGAACAAAGATTGACATTTAACCAATTTAGGAATGGGTCCTTAGTGTGGACATCCTTATTGGGAGTTTTTTTGACATATGGAAATAAGGTAGATTGGGTAAAAGAGCCAATGGAAACACATATATGTTTATTAAGTATACTATAAGAGTCGATGGGAATATATAACATGTTTTATACTAGAGCAGTAAAAACTTTAGACAAGTCTTGCTAAATATATTATCATTTGTGTCAGTAGAATAAGTAGCATGGTTAATATTTAAGGAAGGCCAGTTTTAAATGTTTATTTTAATTAACATTTAAAGTAACATACCATTTACTCTCAGAAACTGATAAGATCAATATAGTGACAGCAAAGCGATTGTAAGGGAGATAAATGTGATTAACCTTTTGACCTCTCTTTTAACCCAGCAGGTCAGGATTTTTTGCCTTGGGTGTCATAGTTTGTGACATTGTTGTACTTGTAGAACTAAGCATTTTAAATTTTATGTACACAAAGAATTTTTTTACATCTTGATTAAGTTGATTTTATATGAATATGATACAATAAAAATTATTATAATAAAAGCATAAATTTGCAGCTTTATAGCAAACCTGGTGGGAAGTTGTGACTGAGATATTGTATTGGTATAGCTAGTAGGATAATAACCAAGCAGTATAAGTTGAAAAGTTGTCACAGCTTGTACTGGTAATCTTATAAGTTTTGCAAGGGATGGGGTCAGTCTTTTGCTGAGTTTTTGACTTTGAATGATTTATCTGTCGCAATTGCATGTTAAACTCGTGAAAGAATTATAAATTGATTTATGTGAACAAGCTTACAAAATATAAGTGGTCAAAGCAAGAAGCCACTGGCCCACTTCCATAGATCATCAAATAGATCTGAAATAAAATATATGACCATCTTTTTGAATTTTTGCCAGAAAGTTGTCATTTTAAACTGACAATTTTGATGTGACAATATCAAAAACACTTAAACTTTACAGTGTAAAATGAGCTATTGATAGTATTACAATTTTAAAGCTTTCCTAAATTTGGTTATATTTCACTAATGAAAATACAATCATAACGACATTAATTAACTAACAATGGCTTGAATAAAAAAAATCAGTCTACATTGTAGATTGATGCACTTTGATTTATCAAGGCATTGTGACATGTCATATTAACCTTTTTTGTCAGAAATTACCTCAGAATTCAGCAAGTTGATTTGAAATCAATACAGATAATGGTTATACAGATAAACCTTACTTTGTTAACTGCTTCTCTGAAATCTGGAATGTATTGATCTAATAAATGGGTGCGTTTATTGAAAATACGATGTTGTCATTATGAAAGGCAGGTAATTTCTTGGTATCCAGCATGGCAAATGAATTAAAACAGTCAGAGGGCGAATGATTATTGTGACTTGAGTACTTGTTGTCATGAATTTGACATTGTTATATGTGTAAAAGCTTTTAATATAAAAATGCATGTAGACTTAGGTCTGTGGCAAGATTTCAGAAAAAATGCATATAGAATGATAGAACTTAAGTAGATGTGTGAATGTTTAAGAAAAATGCACAAATCAGTAGTAGGTGTGAATGTTTAAGAAAAATGCATATATATATATATATAGGTCTGTAGTAAGATGTTGAAAGTTTCAGAAAAATGCACTGATCTCTAAAGAACTGATATGATACTTATGTAACTTATTATTATCCAATATCAGCCAAAATATTAGCCCAAAAACCCTAATGATGTTTGGTATCTTGCTTATTTCTTGAAATAGTATGTATTGAATGTAATTAAGTAAATAGATTTTTAAAGTCCTATTGATTTAGAACCAAGTACAGTCAACCTGTGAACAACAGTCGTCTAAAGGAGAGACCGAACATGGTCTTTATTGGCAAGTGAGCTTTATTTGGAGAATACTTTGTTCTTCGTAATTAATGAAGCATTGTGGAAGAGTGTCAGTGACCTTACTTCACAGGGTGCTCTTTATGCAGAAGTGGTCTGACTGTATCTAAGTTTTTAAAAAGCATTTTGGAGATCTATTTATTAATTTATGTATTGATTCTATGTTGATAAAAGTAAGTTATTACAGCTAGACATTTAAATTATTCTATCTCAGACACTGGTTAATTGGCTACATCTGTATAGTACACTCAGGTGAACTTCATTAAACCTTGGAATTTATTGATTGAACAGGAATATCCAATTTTGATTGTAATTCTACAAGCTAACTGCCCACATTCTCTTCAATACTGTAATTATTGTACTTAAAGTAGGATTGGGGGGCATTTTTGTCATTATATATCAATAAAAATCAGTCTTAAAGACAGAAAACTGTTATGATAATTATTATAAAGTAATGTTTTCTGTATTATGTTTGAGGTTATTACAGAAGTTTTTGAGCTCTTTAAATTTTACCTATCAGTCAAATATATTTGTTTAATTAATTCATGTTGTTTTAAATTTGAAACTGTTCAAGTTAATCTGAGGGGTGTTGATTTTAATATATTAATTCTAAAATTGCTGTTGTGATAATCAAATAATCAGCTATAGATTTACATATAAATGAACTGTACTATAAAACCTCATTTTGTAAATATTTTATTTTTGGCAGATCTTTGTTGCAATGATTCCATATTCTTATTAATTAAGGGGTTGGGTTATTCAATGGTTGTTTAACATGAAAGAATTTTAATCCCCTATAGATTGTACTGTAAACATGTTACCATCAATGGATGGAATGTATAATGTTATACATCTGCTGTTAATGCACATTTAGTGACAAGGTGAAGAATCCAAGATGACCGTATATTGAAAAAAATGTTTAATAATGCTAATGTATACAGGAATCAGGCTCGAAACTGTTAACTGAATTTTTTTTACAGATTCCTTCAAGCAGTTTAAACTATCTACAAGTCGTTTGTATCAAATTAAGTTTGTTATCGTTTTTTTTCCTCACTTAATTTTGAAAGAGTCCTTAGCCCCATGATCACTAAAATTACTGATTTTGGAAGTAAAGAAAAGCTCTTTGCAAGGTCAGATTTTTTGGAAAACGGCATGACTTTAAAAGAAAATTACATTGGAAAGATGTCTTTTTATAAGCTGAAAAAAAATTACTGGAATGATTGATAAATAAAACTGAAGAATAAACAACCTTTCGATCCTTAATTGCCCAGATGACCTCTTGACCTTGAATTGCTAAGCTGACCTTTTGATGGGCTGCTTTCGACCCTTAGAATTGCCCTTTTGAATGTTCAAGGGTTATTCATATACCGAAAGAACTTGGCAAAAAAAAAAATGAATTCATAACCTGTATGTAATGTTTTTTTTGTTTTTTTTTAAGTTGCTTATCTGCCATTAAAGCAACAGGGGTGTCCTAGTTTACTGCAAGAAATAAATTCAAAGCAGTTGTGCTAGCACTTTAACAATTATTCATAATCTAAGTGTAATGTAAAAATTACCTATGTTAGGTATAGATGTAATATAAATATTATGCAGGTATCCTGGAATCTTAGGTGAACTTTTGTACTGATGTTATTTTGTTAATATAGCAAGAAAAAAATGTAAGTCAAGGTAAAACTTTGTAGAAATGATTCAGCAATAAGTCTACAATAAAGATAAATTTTATATGTTTTACTGTTTTATTGTTTTCTTGAGAAAAACTAGGGTTTCATGAAAAATAAGATGGAAATATTTTTGGAATGCATTAAGAATTCTTGAGAATGTTATCAAGGGTGTGGCTACTGGGAAACTAAGTATTGGGACACTCAATAGTCAACTGCACTCTGGAAAAAATAGATTATATCTTTATATATTTTGAAGAAGGCAAGTTTATGTGTTTTAGGATGTCAAGATTATTATATGTAATTATTATTGGGCTCAAAAGTGCCAATTGGGGTGGAGTCTGGAGTTTGAGACATTATTAGGAGCGGTGGTATAGTGGTTACAGGTGTCTGCCTCTCAGCCAGTGAGTCGCACCCATGGCACCACTAGTTCACTACCACTGGTTTGTACCAGTAAGCTGACTGGAGTGTAGTTCATTCAAATTAATAAGCTTTCTATACAATCAGGGCTTCCATTACCTATCAAAATTTTGAAATCAGAGACGAAAAATATCTGACTTTGGAAGTCACATCATATAGGTTAAGAAAGAAAAGCAGTATATTTTGGAAGTCACAAGCCAAAGTCAGGAGTAAATGACTCCCAAACTTCACAAATGGAAGCCCTGATGTAATTGAACTTGATAACATACAAATTTTATAAATAATTTGTTTTAAGTATACTTGCAAATTTATTCATTTAACAATTTATGTTTGTAAACATAATCTCTTGAAAACCCTCTGGTAAACATATGGAACCACTAATGATATTGTAACTCCCC